GTGGAGCTTAATTTGGTTAAGTCTTGGGCAGGATTCCGTACTTCTGTCGTACTTCCTGAGAGGCTTTGGTTATTGAGTTTGCCTTTCTGCTAAGAAGTTCAAAAGCTTCCATGTTGTTAATTCTAATTTCAAGTACAATGACAAGGAGTCAACTGTTTGTTAACAGGCAAAAATTGCACAATTAAATTCCATGGTGACACATCATGCTAGAGGTGGATCTTTTGATACGGAATCACCTCATTCTAGTTCCATAAACAATCAACTTCCAAGTGGTTCTATGGTATTGTTGACAATCAGTTTCGTCTGTTAGATGCTCACATTAACTTCTTATTCCAACAATAAGCAATTATTTTGCTCTATCCTCTTGATAAAAGAGTTGTCTCATTTTCTTTACCTTACCAAAAAACGAGAAGAGAAAAGAGTTTCCTCATTTTCTTTCTCTCAGGGTATGCCGGAATATCCATCCTTTAAACAGTACATTGATGGAAAACATAATGAAGCAGTTGATACCAGATCAAGAGATGTGCAAGCCAGTCTACATTTACGAGCTGAAAGCTTGCGGCTCAATCATGAGATGCATCAGCAAGCAAATAGTGGAAGTCATTTGGAAATCTCATCCAATACTGATAGGTCAGGCTGCAAAATTGACGAACTTTTTATGATGGCTTAGTGTTGCCTTCCATGTCCCAATTTATGTGGAAATTCTTTTTGCTATGTATGAACTAAAATCATATAAATTAAGAAACACAGAAACACTGGTCATTCCAACTTATTTCTGGAATTTCTGTAAATTACTCCAAGGTGACATATTTCAATAACATATCATAAGATATCTGAATCTGCATTTACTTCTTTTCAACATCCTTAGGTTAAAGATGGATGCTTTTTTAATACGAAGGAAAATATATATCAGCTGCAGTCATAATTATGCTTTAACTTGTTTACCTTTAGGGAGATGTATTTGTTGTACACCGGTTTGAGGTGATAGTCCTGCTGACATTCTCAGTGTCAAAAGCTAAGAGGACAGAATGTCATGCCATGAGTGAGATCTGTGCATTCGGGAGAACAATCTATTTTTTGTAACAATGATACAATGAGCCCTATATATAATACATATTCTACTCCTACTACATATGGGACTAGGACATATTCTACTCCTACTACATATGGGACTAGGCCATATTCTGCTCCTACTACATATAGGACTAGGACTATTTACACATAACTATCTAACACTCCCCCTCAAGCCGGTGCATACAAATCATATGTACCGAACTTGTTACATATGTAACTAATACGAGGACTAGTGTGAGACTTGGTAAAAATATCTGCAAGCTGATCTTTCGACATACAAGGCCACTAGACTCCCCCCGAGCAACAAAACCAGGTGGTTGCTGATAAACAGAAGTTGGCCAAAAAGTTGCCGGAAAAATTTGAAAATAGTGAGACTAAGCCGAATTCCACACTACAAAATAGTAAAACACCACCAGAAAATAGAAACTTTTCTGAAAATTACTGTTCACGCACGGGAAATCACTGTTTACGCCAGAAAAAATAAAAATTGTCAGGATTTGATGTAATTTATATGGGTAGGCTTGGAATCACTAGACGAGTAAGTTGTCCTGAAGAAGTTTTGTAAAAAAGTGGCTGGAATGGCTCACACGCGCCGGAAAAGTTCTGTAGCTCGCCAGAACCCTAGTTCTGGGCAGCGCATAATGGCGCGTGACTTTCTGCTGGAGCGATTGACTGGAGTTTTGTCGCCTGACTTTTCCGAACAAGATGGTAGTGTTGGTTTTCGCACAATACTTACTGATGAGGAGATAACGCTAATCAATCTTGAGTCGTCAACCGGATAGACGCACGGTGATTGAGTTTTCTTTCCAGATGGGACTAGGATTTCTGGAGTTTGGTCGCACAAAGGTTTCGGATCTAATGGTGGTACCGGTATATGCACAGTACCATTGTAGCACTGATGAACCCTGGGAACAAGACGAAGTTGCCGGAAAATTGCACGGCGATGGGATCTTTCTTCCCGGATGTCGCTGGAATGACGCACAACGATAATTTTCTCATTGAATCTCGGATACCATGTGAGAATGCACGGGAAAAAAATCTATTTTTTTAAATAATGATACAATGAGCCCTATATATAATACATATTCTACTCCTACTACATATGAGACTAGGACATAATCTACTCCAACTACATATGGGACTAGGACATATTCTACTCCTAATACATATAGGACTAGGACTATTTACACATAACTATCTAACAAGATGATGCAGTACTAGTAGATGTAGACTTGCAACTGAAGGGGAAGGTGTTAACTCAGCTTGTAATCTAGTTTATTGCTGTCTTTCAATCTGGAAGGATGGGTCTTCATACTTCGAGAAGCTAAACTCTAAAATTTGTATCCGTTCGAGATACTTCGTCTCTGTCTTAGTGTGTACTATAAAAATCATGGGTTAATTAAAAAAAATAAGATGTTGCAGAGGATTTGAATTCATGGCCTCAAGTTTATGAGCCTTGTGCAGTACCAAACTGTCTACTCTGCGCCAAAGATAAGAACTGAAAACTAATAGATAAACAAGGACTAGACAAAAATGAAGCCACAAAAGTCCATCATCTTTGCTAATCATGGTCTACATTCATTTACAAGGACAAGGGTATCTGTTTTTATGTGAGTAAATGGTCCTTCTAATGCTCAATACCTCTGCAGTATCATAGACCTGTCTTTCAAGGATGGTTGGATACCATCCTGAAGACCAAAAGAGAGGTTCTGCCATAAGGAGGATATATTAGCCTAAGTTGGGCGGACTCTTTATTTTTGATATCGAATCCGTCTCGACACGGCACTGGGACAGGTGCGGGTGCAGGATACGTTTGGGTCAACCAACTTCGGATACTTTGACCGGAGTCCATGGACAAATTTGGGGGAATAATTGAGATTTTGATTTCTCGAAATAAAAGATAAAACGGATTTAATTTAAGACATGGGAAATGACATACCTTCAGTATACATATAAGTTTTTCTACAATATAATGTAAGTTTTACAATTTAAGACATGGAGAATGAAAGGTTGAATTCTACAATACATGTAAGTTTTTCATAGAACTTTTCTCAAAAATTTAGAATATCTTTATAGCTCCATTTTTATAATTTTGAATTTTCCTAGCCAAATTCCAGCATCCGTATCCATACCTGGATCCACACCCCCGAATCATAAAATTTAGATTTTGCCAAATCCGTCCTCGTATCAGATACCCGCACCTAAGTCCGAGCAACTTAGATATTAGCTATGATTTGTTTATGTCTCCTTGTAGGTCCTTCTGTACTTTCGTTTTGTCAAGCCACATGCTGGGACAGACATTAAGTTCAAATTTCCAAAAATTCTACATCTTCTTCTCTACCAAAAGGGACCGGCTTAACAATAACTTTTAACTGTTCTATGCATATCTAATTAATATCGCTCATAGCAAAACGACTAGGGTGCAACAACTCTTTTTCTGCCACATGGCTGCATGAGGTGGTTAAAAGTTTTATCTGCATATGAGTGCATTAAAGAGCTATCTTTGTTTGTTTTCCTGCTCATCCTCAAATCATCTCCAACAAGGAAAATCCCCCTATTGTTCCAAGTAAAAAAACAACAAAATAGAAAATAAAAGAATTAGTTGCTTACCGGAGCGATCTCTTTTCCAATCTAGATCGTTTTTGCTCCAGATTGTGGCTTCTTTTTAGTAGAGAGCTGGTATTTTGTAGCCTGTTTGGGTTAGCTGATTAAAAGTAGCTGATACACATCAAATGCTGAAAAGCACCACATGATTTATAGATAGGCAGTTACGTGTTCGGATAGAAGTATTGAAGCTGATATTAAGCAGTTAATGTGTTTGATAAAAAGCTGCTGATAAGCACTTTTTTCTGTTAAAACGACTGAGATGTTCTTAAAGCTATTTACAAATAATATAAATTTAAAAGTATTTTTTACATAAAAAGAGCGAATGACGGAAATAGAATAGAGAGATAATTAAAAGTTATATTTTAGGAAGTATTTCAGAGATCGTAAAAAGGCTTGGTCAAACCAAAAGTGCTTATAAGTTGTAAAACCCAAATTGGGGGTGGCCAACTTATGGCTTTTGGCTAATTTTGGCTTAAAAGCACTTTTGAAGTTTACAAAATGCGCAGATTAGCCAATAAATGATTATAAACTAATTTGACCAACTTATAATCTTAGCCCAAACAACCTCTTAGTGTTCACATGAAAAGAGCCAACTTCTGTGCAAAATCATAATTAGTCTCCCTCCAGTTCTAAAGTATCTGAAAGAATTAAGTCACATGGTCTATTTCCAATCTTGACACAGGCTTTGTGAAACCTGGTGGCCTGCACATCTGACCACTATCCATCTTGGTCACCAACGGCTGATCCTTATGCTCTTGAGCAGTTATTTAAGTGGTGGACATTGGTGTAAGCATAGCATCATGGGACCATCGGTGTTTCCTAAATTTCATTCTTCTACTTTCATCTATGAGAAGATAATTTTTAAATGAATTCTATTCCTTCCTAACAATCTCTCCATATAGAGGGTCTGCTTTCTTATTGCCTATTGAACTTCCTTATATACCCCATACTTGCAAGTGATGACCCTGTGCTGCTATTCCTTGGTAACTGTTTGCCCCAGAATAACTGGCATGTGAATCTAGAGGTGTCCAGGTACCGGTTTCCCATCCCCACCTATTAGATACTACCCAGTCAACCTCTCACTTTAAAGAAGGTCTATGATTGAAGTGAACAAGCTGGGATGAACTTTAGTTGACCCATGGTTAAGCTAGTGTTGATGAGTTTGTGACTGAGTATTTTCTATTACTAGAGTTTGCAATTTTTTTTTGGCTCTGACAGTTTGAGACTGCAGGGATGTTCCCTTTCCCAGTAAAGATAACTTGTTTGATAGAAATGGGGTGAATGAGAGATTTGAGGAGAGCACCGATGAAAACCGTCATAATCCTCCTATGGGAAATGAGATGGGTGGTTCTATTAGTTCAGAAGGTAACATATTTGTTTGTCTTTAAGGTTGGTGCATAAACTTGTATGGCTCCTAATGGGAAGTTCTATCACAGGGGAAAGTCCTGGAATAGAAAATTTTCAAATAATTGGAGAAGCTAAACCAGGATGCAGAATTTTTGGTTGTGGGTTTCCTGTACGTGGAACTTCTCTTTGTATGTTCCAGGTAATATTACTATATGGTATGCAATTTTACTCCTTAAGGGAGCTCTACACGCTGATATCTAAAGTATTTTTTTTCCCAATCTTTTGTTTCCAAATGTCAGTGGGTCCGTCATTATCCTGATGGTACAAGGCAGTATATTGAGGGTAAGTCTAAACCTTTATGCAGAGGTTGTCATGGCTCTTTGTCATTATTTATTTTATATGTCTTAGTGTACAAGTACAACAACAACGAGATTGCCTTAAACACCACCACTGTTTAGCTTTAACATCTACTTTTGACTGTCATCTTTCATAATCTTTAGGTGCCACGAATCCTGAATATGTAGTTACTGCTGATGACATCGATAAACTTATAGCTGTTGAATGCATACCGATGGATGACCAGGGACATCAGGTAGTTGATCTTGCTCTCCCTGTCCTTAAATTTTATTCTACTTTGATTTATACTAACAAGAAATTGTGTGCTACCAATTAAAGTGGGGAAATAATGCAACCTCCTTGCTATAAAATATATGTATCTTTAGGAAATACTTGACTTTTGAAACTGCTTGGTCCGCAGATTTCAAGTCGCTTTGAATTTCAAATTAGTTACTTTTCACTCAGCCATTCACCCAAAATCTTAGGCTGCATCTTATTTGTCCGTTCTAGCATGCTTTTATGTGATTGGATTGGATGGAATTATGGCCCATTTATTGCAATCATTTCGAGTTCTCTGTATTTAGTTTACAGTAGTATCTGATCTATGATATGCTGGTATACTTGTACTAGTTAGAGCAGTGACTCCAATGCGGGACGATTTTGCAGAAAGGACGCCACTCTTTTAATTATGCTGGTGGAAGTACTATGGATTTGGAAAATATTTGTTTCAATTGCTTTCCAAGTTCAAATTATTATAGCTTGTAAATATAAATTTGAAACAATAAGAAATTTCTTTTGAGGGCATAATTGAACTTTTCCCTTAATAGGTTCCTTTTCCAACGATTATGTTTCTATGCTTTTATGCTGTATAAAATAATCAACCTATCCAAAGAAGAGTAAAAAAGAAAGCCCTGTGTGTCTATACAAAAGAATCCATGAATTCTAGTAGGGTTTCACTGTCATCAATCCAATCCTGTTTACACCCAAAAGATATCAACAAAATGCAGTCTGATTTGATCTTCAAGAATGGATTCTCCTGTCCTTCAAAGCATCTCCTATTTCTCTCTTTCCATATGCACCACCTAATAGCTGTCGGTATTGTATTCCCATCCTTCTTCATTTGGTTTGATAGTCCCTTTTTATTCCAGCATGATAGTAACTCAGTGGTAGATCTTGGCTTCACCCTTTTATTTCCCAAAATGTTCAAGAATAAATGCCACAACTGTGCATTGTAGGAATAGATGATTGATAGTTTCTGCCTCCTCTTTACACATATAGCCCTGTTAACTATCCGGAGTCCCCTTCTTTATAAATTGTCCTGAGTCAAACAAGCTTTTTAGCCACCAACCACTCAAAACAACTAACTTTCATAGGAGCTTTCGACTTCCAGATTTGCTTCCTGGGACCAATAAGAAACTGATTTACTTCTTTCATGAATATGTCGTAACATGTCTTGACAGTATAAATCCCTTTGTTGTGGCCTCTACATATCAAACGGTCTTCATTAGTGGTTAGGCATGCAGGCGTAGGTAGTATACTGAAGAATTCATTTATCTTATTTAGCTCCTAGTCGTTTATGTCTCCTCTGAATTTTATATTCCAGCTATTGTCTTCCCAACTTGTGCTACTGTGAATTCTTTGTCAAGTACCAAAGAATTGATCTACTCTTTTCATTAGTATTACCTGAATGAACATGCCAGCAGAGTTGATCTATTTTGTTTTACAGTGCATCTTTGTCTATTAAGACCTAAATTTGACATGACCAGAGATTATACAATAACATAATCTAATAAAAATTTAACCATACTTCAAATTATTAAGCCGTTAATTTTGATTTTGTGTCTTTTGTTGAGCATCCTGTCTATTTGGTCATTGCTAATTCAAAGATGATCTTGTTATGGATCTTAATCGTTTTCTATCTATTCTTCTTAGTTTTGTGTTTGTACAATAATTTTTTAATGCATATTTTCTTGTAGATTTTTTGTGCTAACATTTGGTATTGTCAGGGGGAACTTGTCAGGCTTTTTGCCAATGATCAAAACAAAATAACATGTGGTAATTAGCTTTCACTGTCAAAAAATGTGATTCAGTTGTCCACTTTGAGCAAAAGCAGCTTTCTCTTGTTGCTTGCTGCTACTCCTTTTGATGAGTGGTTTGATATTTGCAGACCCAGACATGCAATCAGAGATAGATACCCATATTTCTGAAGGCCAGGCCACGTTTAATGTTCTAATGCTTGTAGGTTGATTTTATGCAAATGTACTTACATGCTTTTTTTATTTATTCCAAATTTTCCTTTACAAATTGTTGCAGAATGATGCTCAGGAATTAACTTTGTGGGATTGCTGTGCTTTAAAATGGTTTTTGATAGAGAACAACATACTAAATCAGTTTTTTTAAATCAAGTAAGGTTAACATAAAATTAAATTAGTAGAATAAGGTACTTCATTAATTACCAGCACCAAGAAAGTGGTCATGAGAATATACGTGAAAATTTACAAATTGCCTCTTTGTGGATAACTGGATATATAGGGAATTGATAAGGTCTTGTATCTGATCCATATAACTGCCACTTGCTAACCATGAGAACAAAGACTAAGGGCAAAAATACTTTAGGTGGTGCACTGGTCTTCTTTCACCATCAATCTGCTATTCTTCTCTCCGTAACACTCAGAGTATGCATAGTGAATGGCATACCATAAGTTCCTTCTGCTTTTCTGTACCGTTGCTCCTTTCCAGCTGCAGGATGTTTTATTATTAAGTTCTCTGGTATTACCCACTTAAAGCTGAAAAGATCCCACCAGTTATTGATCTTGCCAATGTCTAGTGATATTCCAGCTAGTGCCTCTCTACATTGAGCCATCAGTTATTGAACTGTTTGAAATTTGGACAATTTTCATGTATGAATGAGTTTTCTATTAGACTGCTAAATTTCTTTGCATACAGACTAGATGGAACGAAACTAAAAGGCCCGTAGTTTGCTTGAACAAAAAGATGACCCGAGGCCATAGCTAAGCTATCGTTATCGAACATATGACATATCCCGGCTAGAGAGCATTGATTTCTCCACCGGAGGAGTCTGAAATCAGCAACGTGTAACTGCTTGGGTATTGAGTGTTCCGCTGCTTGAGGAAGTATGTGAGAGGAAACTCTTTCCCTATTCAAGAACTCTATGTGACGTTCTCAAACAAGTACCTTTTCAAATTTACATGCATATGCTGGAAAAGGTTTCGTCCTAATCATTCAGCAAGATGGTAACTACACTGTTAAAGGTGCACTTATTTAGTAGAGCTAAAGTATCAATAAAATTTTAACTTCAGCTGGAAAATTAATAAGAAGTTACATCTGGATTAAATGGTTTTATAAACGAGGGCATGTCTAGCTGGAGTAGGTCTCTTGTCAGTTCCTTTTGTAATCAATGTCTTCCGTCCAACTTCATCTTGGTATTGAATCATCTTTTGCTAGTTTTAGCTTTCATTATAAACTCATTTGGGCTCAATGTAGCTCAGCTGGTGTAGAGGATGGCAGTGTGATCCAGGATATACAAGTTTATGATGTGAAGGGAAAGCACTGCTTTCATTTAAGACCAACCTAATAGATGATATGTACTGAAAACCTGTATTATATTAGGTTCCGGATGTGCATTGCGAAAACTTATTAACTTCTTCTCGGGCTTAACAAGTCCCTTTAGCCAGATTCAGCAGGCAGCAAAATGAGGCTCCTCGTCTTTTATTTCTCTCGTCCTTGCGAGTTATATTCAGACGGGTTATACAAATATTGTATTGATGACATTACTTTTTCCTGGATAGGCTCCAGAGATGTTATATCTCTCCTGTTCTTGCACCTATAGCCTCTCTCACAGTTACTGGCATTCAATTCTTCTTCTTGGACACCCTTAGGCGCCAGGTATCCTTTCTGTCAAAGGTAGTGTTGTAGAAACATTTATAGGAAACATTCTTTTTGAGCTACCTGGATAATAAGCCCTATTTAACAGAAAAATTAGAGAAATGAGTAAACCGATGAGGAATTCATTGGCTAGGATTTAAGCTTGTTGAGTTTAAATCATTCAATAAGTTTAGGCTTTTTCATATAATTGAATTCATAAAATGTTTGGTTAGAATGAAATTCATGGTTGCGTTGTTCGGTGTTTTTTTTGGGGGGGGGGGGGGGGGGGGGGTTGTTATCATTTTCTTAGATATCATGGCTGTCAATACCCTGTGAGATCTCTCAGAACAATCTTTTTTGGTTCTGCCCAACAGGTCGAGTCTTCTGAGAACTGGGAACCAGCGATTATATTTTTGCGGCGATCAAGCTTCCAAGTCAAGGTTCATAGAACACAAGCTGTTGTAATAGCAGAAAAATTTTCCAAAGAGTTGTCGGTATGTGCTTGCATGTGATGGATTAATACTTAAAATGAAATTTATATTATTTATCAATGGAATTTACTACTCGGTGCTCATCTAGTATGGGTCTTGAGAAGCTGAGTTCATGTTTTCCTGCAAATATATGATAATGTGAAGACCTGCAGCCATAGTTACCATAAATTTGCTATGCATGTATACATTCCAGCATTATTTATAATTACGTCTGGAAAAGTTCTTGATAAAACATTCTATAATGGCGGAATACATACACGGCTCCCTAAACTTGGCAATATTCACTTAGCTACCTTAACTGAGGCTTGTACCTATTAGATACTTAAACCTCACTGCGTGCCTATGGGGCACAATTGTCTAATCAGCATAAATAATGTAATGCGTGAATCTCACATGCGATGACTTGGCAAGAATTAACAAATGGGACAAGGCCATGTGACTTTTGAGTTTAGATAATCCAAAAAGATAACTTTTCAGAAGAAATAAAAAGAAAAATCTGTTCTATTAAAAGAAACCCCTCAACCAGTGCTGCAAACCCCCCTCACCCGTCGCCGGGAAGTTCCCCCTCTCCGCTGCAGGTCAGAACCACCACCTACTCCACCCTCTTTCTGAAGCGAACCTTCCTGTCCATCACCCGTTGAAACCACCAGCGACCCCATCACCCGACTGCCCATCAGATTCCCAAAAGAAACCACCAGAAAGGACCTTCACCGCCGACATGGCCGGAAAACCTTCCAAACATCATTAACCCACCACTAATGCCACACCTTCAAAATAGCCGCCACCACCTTCTTCTACCCTCTCCCATTCCTCTTTTCATCATCTCGCCACCGCCGGTCCACCAGCCTCAACCTCTTAAATCGCCGTCGGCCACCCTTCTCTCTTCTCGAGTTCTCCTTGTTAGCAGAAACCCACCAGTGAACCACTACCGAAAAATGCTCTCCGCTTCCTAACCCCTCTCTCCATTTCAATGCTTTCCTCATCCATGGTTTCAAGAAAAGTCATCTCGAGCTCTCTGAATCCTTCAAAGGGTGGAGTATCTGTTTGCAGTAATCGTTCGCTCCAATTATTTGCGGGTGTCTTTGACTCCAGTATGCGACGTTTGGACTGTGCTATATGTTTGAGGCCTGGTGGTTTGCTGAAAATGGATTTATTTTTGAAAAACAAAATGTAATTTTTGAATTTCCACCCTCCTAAGAGGGATGAGATACACTTTTTTTTGCCATGTCAGGTGTTGTGCTTAATAGGTACACATTGAGTGAGGTTGAAATATCTAGCAGGTACAAGCCTCATTTGAGGTAGCCAAGTGAAAATTGTTGCCGAGTATACACTTTTTTTGCCATGTCAGCGTGTTGTGGTTAATAGGCACACATTGAGTGAGGTTGAAATATCTAATAGGTACAAGCCTCAGTTGAGGTAGCTAAGTGAAAATTGTTGCCAAGTTTAGAAAACCATCTATATATTCTTCCTTCTATAATTAAGAAGTATATATTATGTAATTAAGGACTTAGATTTGGTAATGTTATGGATATAAAGCAATATTATATAGATTAATTAGAATCATTAGGCTGATTCAATTCCTATAATTGTATGTTATTTAAAGCATGTCACATGTGTGTACACTATTTACATCTCAGTGGTTTGAGGATATGACTGAACATTTCTTACAATCCCCCTCCCCCCCCCCCCCCCCCACCCTCTCTCTTTTCATTTTTCAACTCCGTTAATAGAAAAAAAGGAGCTGGCTCTAGATGTGGAGCTCTAGACTTGGTAGACTGTTCCTGACCTTTGATTTGCAGTTAGCTCTCTGAATTTTACCAATGAAAAGAAGCTGTTGGTTGCATCCCGGATTTCATTACTTATAAAAAATGTAATGATACAATTATACATAGGTTTGAATCATCACATAAACTGATGTTCAATGATGCTGATTGTCATAACAGGCTATTAGCTGGAGGAGATAACACATTAGTTTTATGATTTCTTGTTTTAGGGAGGAAAAGGATGTATCCTACTTAACCGTGTTTGGTGGGCACATTGCCTAACCATTGATAGGTTCATATGGCTTATACCTAAGAAAAGAAGAAAAAGAAACTATAGTAAAAATAACAATAGCAAGCAAAAGAAGCCCATTTTGTCGTGGTTTAGTCACATTGTTCTTGAATTTCCTAAAGATAATCACAGGAAGCAAAATTTAGTAATCTAAAAATGCTGGAGACACCATTATCGATCAATGGATGGACAATTTACTTGTACTTAAGGGTGGGTGGGTGTGAGGGTGATCGATACTCATAATTGGAGCAAATAAACAGAAAATAGGCTTAACTGTATGGTGGTAATGCTTGAATATACCGAACGGAAATTTGTATTATCACCTAATTTATTGTCAAATATTTGAGTGTAATTCTGACTCTTCTATGTTCAGATCAAAATTCCAAGCGGGTTGTCAACACAGTTTGTTATCACATGTTCCGATGGGTCTTCACATCCCTTCAGTACAAACAATGATATAAGGTAACTTTTAACTTAGCATCTTTTTTGGGTTAAATCACATTACATTGAAAAATTGTTAGTTGTCCTGTAACATAATCATGCACGGGCATATAACTTGTTGTCAATTTTTCTACTTAGTCACGCAAAAGTAAAGCTGTAAGCAAACAATTGAAGTGGTATTGAATCGTAAATTCTTGCTTTAGGAGAATATCTAACTTAGGGGTACCCGCATCAACTTGAAGAGATTAGGATTTTGTCACTTCATCTATCTTTAAAGTTACTTTTCTAAAAGCGCATTAGTGTCACATGTTTTAAGAGTAATATGTAGTCGATAAAAAGGCACCCCCTATGTGTTCTGTATCATGTAAATGAATGAAAAGCGTCCACGTATTCATAGTTTAGAAGTATTTATTTATTATTTCTAAAGTACTATTCTAGACATGGTTCTTTGATGCATATGGATTTATTTCAGATTGTAGCATGCATTGATATTTCCTGTCATAAGTTGCTTGTCAACAGCTATATGTATATTCCCACTGTATTTTACCTAATTATTACTCTCTCTCTTATAAGCTGTAGCTAGAGTACTAGAAGCACCCAGTTTTCAGCTTAAATTTTAGTGATTTCATGAGATTAAGTTGTGTACTTCTTTTTCTTTTTTAATTTTTAGATAAGGTATTAAGTTGTGATTTCTTGTAGGGCGGCAGCTTTCATTTATCATTAAAAAAAAAAAGAGGAACTAATCTGTTATCTCTTTTGTTGCTTGTATTCTTGGGTTTGTTTGTTACCAAAGAATTTGGTATGGGGAATATATTGTTTCCTTAGTTACTATATTGTTATTATATCAGATTTTGATTCTCTTCGTTCTTTGAATCATTGAAATCTAAGTTGCTGCTTTCTTAATTCTTTCTAGAATGCGCGATACTCTTGTGCTGACGATGAGAATCTTCCAAAGCAAGGTATTGTTTCCTTTGCGATATTCTGAAATATATGGGTTCGAAATTTAACTTTTTTCTTTTTAGTTAACCATCTCATATGATTTGCTACTATTTCTCGGTAAACTAATCATTTTGCACATATATGTTCGTTTTAGTACAATTGAAACTTTCCTCTATATTGATGCTTAGCTTAAATTCTTGAAAGTGTGGGCATCAAATGTTGGGTAACATATTTGAGTCGTACAGTAGTCCGACGCTAACACCAATGGGACAGTTTTTACTTTTTAGCACCAACCTATCATGTCCGAAATCTTGAAAATATAAACGCAGTTGTCAACTATGGGCACTTGTAATGATTTACTAGACTGCACTAAACTACTACTCCTTTTATTATTTGCTAAAGTTTTTTTTTTTCTAATGCATACAAGAATAACCATACCTCAATCCCAAACAAGTTGGGGTTGAATATATGAATCCTCGATGACCATGTTTCTTCATTTCAATTCATCTCAGACCAACATGATACAAAATAACAAGAATAGAAGTATTAGAAGTTCTTTGCACTTTGTATCGGCATAAAATCTGAGATAAGGCTATCTTAGAAGCATAGGGCTTAAATGTATTGACATTACCAAAACACATTCCCAACTAACTAATATCGCCTATATATATATCTTTTTCTTCTATTGTGCTCTGTCTTTCGCTAAGTCTGTATGGATTCCAAGAAATTGTTAGTCTTTCAAGATAACTTCTTTCCATGTAATTTTAGGTCTACCTCATCCACTTTTAACACCTTCACTCTCTATGCTATTACACTTACAGACCAGTGGCGACACATGACATGACCAAACCATCTCAAGCGACGTTCTCTCATATCCTCAGTATCTGCTATTTGCACCTTTTGACCAGTATTGTCTTTTTTAATCTTATCTAATCTTCTATGACCGTACATCTATCTTAGCATCTGCATCTATATGAAACGCATCTTGTGGATTGTGTCGGACTTCCCAACATTCACTCCCATATAACTTTACTAGTCTTATAACTGTTTAATAGAACTTTTTTTACATTTTGCTAGGCATCCTTCTATCACATAAAACCCCGGTACTACTTCTCCATTTCAACCATCTGATATTGATTCTATATGTAACATTTTTATCTCTCATTCCACTCGCCTGAAATGAGCTTAGATATCTGAATTACTTGCATATAGAGACAATAGAGAAATCTCTCTTGTATTGTATTCAAGAAATAATAAGTATATATACAAGTACATAGAGCCTTAACTATGGAAAGAATCAAAAAGGAAATCCTATAAATCTGCTGTGAATCCCTATAATTATGCTAGCTATGTATACTACATAAGATTATGTCTACATTCAAATTATGTCTACATTCATTATCTAACACTCCCCCTCAAGCTGGAGCATAGATATTGATCATGCCCAGCTTGTTACAAAGGTAATCAACTCGAATTCCATTCTAACGCCTTTGTGAACAAATCAGCCGGTTGCTCTCCTGTCTTCACGTAGCCAGTGGAGATCAAGTTCTCCTGAATCTTCTCTCGAATAAAATGGCAGTCAACCTCAATATGCTTAGTTCTTTCATGATACACCGGATTTGACGCAATATGGAGGGCAGCTTGATTGTCACATCAGAGTTTTGCTGGTATTGGATGCTCTAACCCAATTTCAGTCAACAGATGATGTATCCACATAATCTCACATGTAGACTGTGACATAGCTCTATACTCGGATTCTGCACTAGATCAGATACAACACTTTGCTTCTTACTCCTCCATGATACCAAGTTTCCTCCAACAAAGACACGATAACCTGTAGTAGATCTTCTATCAATTTTCGATCCACCCCAGTCAGCATCTGCAAAACACTCAATACGAGTATGATTGTGATTGCTATATAATATGCCAAGTCCAGGAGCTCCTTTCAAGTAACACAAAATCTGTTCCAAAGCTGCCCAATGTTTGACCGTTGGTGCAGACATGAACTGGCTAACAACACTTACCGCAAAAGCAATATCTGGACGAGTCACAGTAAGGTAGTTTAATTTCCCAACTAACCTCCTGTATCTCTCTGGATCGTCAAAAGGATCACCATCGTCTTTCATAGGATGCACATTAGGAATCATTGGAGTACTGCAAGGTTTAGCTGCCAACTTTCCAGTTTCTGCAAGCAAGTCAAGAATGTACTTTCTCTGAGACAAAAGAATTCCCTTCTTGCTTCTATTTACTTCTACTCCCAAAAAGTATTTCAACTGGCCCAAGTCCTTTGTATGAAACCTAGTATGCAGAAAAGACTTGAGGGAAGAAATCCCAGCATAGTCACTTCCTGTGATAACAATATCATCAACATGTACAACGAGGAGAATAGTGCCAGCTACTGATTTCCGATAGAAGACTGAGTGATCGCACTTACTCATTTTCAACCCAAACTCCTAAACTACCTCACTGAACTTGCCAAACCAAGCTCGTGGACTCTGCTTCAAGCCATACAAGGACTTCTTCAAATGACAGACTTTCCCATACTCCCCCAAATAATCGGTTTTTAAATCTTCATCACTTTCTTAAGTTTGGTCTAAAATCCCATTTTCACCTCTTTGATTCCTTGATTTTAAGACAAAATTGACTACAGATTCATGGATACAGTCATAGATTCGAGTTAAAATAACTTACTGCAACGTCGTACATAAAAAATCCTTCAAACAATTGCCTCAATTCGAGCTCCCTAGCTCTAAAAATTGTGAAATGAACTCAAAGTACAAAATGAGGCTATTTATACAAAACTTCAGGTAAATTGCACTGGCACGCCGGGTTTGCATTCTTTGCAGATTTGGCTGGTCTTTCACCTAATCCTCCTCCAAATACCTCGAAACTCACCTGAGCCCCGTGGGACCCCTTCAAATCATCTTGACAAGTGCAGTACCCTGTACAGACTTATCCAATGGCTCGAAACATGAAGCGAAGCGCTACAAACCAAAACAACAACTCGATTCAACTTAAAGAATCTTTAAGGTTCCAACTTTCATGCAATAGTGCAGAAACGACCCCCAAGTCCCTCAAGTCCTAAACCGAACATTCATACAAGTCGGAATACATCATGTAAACTTATTAGAAGCTTCAAACATGAACCAAAAGTATAACACTTTCATAGGGAATTTTTTTTTGGGGCTATAGATTCATAATAATGCTTGCCTAAGTTCTACCTCTCTTTTTGTGCAGGCATTGGATGAGAAGAGGAAGGGGAAAATATAAACCTTTACTTTCTGTATAGGTGCATTATTCATGGCCATTGTCATTCTTTATATGAACCAATAAAAATAAAAAGTTAACAATAAGCAGCAGGCTTTTGGTAAACAGTTTTGAACAACTAGGAAGAAAAATAGCCCCCCCCCCTGTCTTTCTAAATTTTGTTGTTGTATACTTGTAACTTTAATCGGTGTTTACGATTGCACCATGTGTTGTATACTTGTATCATTGTATTAGATTATCCTTTTTTTCCCCCTTTGGTGTGACTTGTCGATTTTGTATCAGAAATCAGAATTAGTGGTTGATTGAATTTATTGAATAATTCAATGATATCAATTCAACAATTCTCAATGGTTGTGCTATAATTTTGGTCAAATGTATCATTATTAGGTTAGTATATTTTCTTCAGAATTTTTTGTTCTCAGTGCCTGGGATCCTTTTAGCATGTAATGGATGTTTAATGTGAGAGCTTACAGGAATATGAATATCCAATTTCTGAATGAATGAATACAACACTGCAGATCTCTCACCATGAGCAGTGAGAGGCTTTGTTCTAATTTGTCGCAACAAAGTTTAGATTGGTCCTAGCCCGGAAAAAGGGGCATCTGGTGGACACATACTAACTAATGCTTGAGTTGAAATTCTGTAATATTAAAAGAGTACTTACTATAGCAATTGCTACTAATAATTCTTAACCACACCAGAAACAACTTATATTGATATGCAAAGGGAACTATAATGATGAAATTAACATGGAGTGCAGGGGATAACAACTGAAAGAAGGAGATGAGAATTAGAATTACAGAGATATAGATGAGGGAAGAATATTCTCGATAATTTTTCCTGATCCACTACCCTGCCTTGTATAACCAACTCCTATAACTACATCACCATGTCCCACTACATAATCATGTAGGCATTTGTCTCACTCGTTTGCCCCTTACCATATTGTCCTCAATAGCATCTTCCGTGGACTCCACATCAGCACCCAACTCGTCAGCCTCATAAACAGGTTCATTTTGTGATTCTGGATTCGTAACATTACCCCATCTCCAGTGAGAACCTTGTCCTCAAGGTTCAGTCCTGTAGGTCTATCAGTATGAACAAAATCAGTCAAGTGAAGTGCTGCGATCTGATTATCTGAGTGCACCAGACATTTCCTAAATAGTGATATATGAAAGACTGGGTGAATTTTTGCAGCTACCGGCAATTCCAATTTGTATGCCACTTCAATTCTTTTAAGAACACGAAATGGACCAAAGTACTTTCTTCCCCGTTTATGTTGTCTTTGAAGTCGAATTGATACTTGTCTGTATGGTTTGAGCTTCATAAAGATCCAATCTCCTTCCTCAAAGTTCAGTTCAGTTCTTTGTTTATCTGCTAGGTCCTTCATTCTTCGTGAGCTTTAGCCAAATTTTGTTTATATATCCAACACCTCATCCCTTTGGAGTAAAAGTTGTTCCACAAGATCATTACAGTTGCTGCCCAAAATATAACTAGCAGTTGTTGGTGGTTCTCTTCCATAAAGAGCTTGAAAATGGATCATGCCAGTTGATGATTGAAGTGATGTATTGTACCAGTACTCGGCCCATGGCAACATGGACACCCATTTTGAAGGACTATTTTCCACAACCCATCGAAGGTACTATTCGACACACTTGTTAGAGCCTCAGGTTGTCCATCAGTTTTGCGGGGGATAAGCTGTACTGATAGGAAGAGTGGTACCTTGCATTTTGCTAACCTCTTGCCAAAAATAATGGATGATGTAAGCCTTGTATGCATCTCAAGAATTACTTTCCCCTCGTTCATCTTACACAGTTCATATTTCCTAGTTAACATATCGATCTTTGACTGTTTAACTTGAGATGTACCTTCATCGGTACACTGCAAGGCATCCCATATGGATTTTGTATCTCTGCATACTTAGATTCTATTATTTTCGTATGGACCAATACCACAGATCAAAATACTTTTGGCTTTAGCATTCTTTTGAACCCGTTTGACATTTTTTTCAGAATATTTTTCTCTTGGCTGCGGTCCAATGGTGATACCTTTGTCATCAACCAACATAGAAATATTTGGTCCTTTTTCAACAATATCCCAAAGTTCTAGGTCTTCTCCTTCAAGAATGTCATGCATCCTTCCCTTCCACCAACTATAGTATTTTTCGTTAAACAAGGGTGGCCTAACAGTTGAAAGTCTTTCTTGAGCGTCCGGTGATGCAGCCATTCTAGATCATTTTAAGGTGTTAGCCTCTTAGGAAAGAACCTGCTCTGATATCTATTATTATTTTAGAGTTGAATTAGACACAAAAAATTCATAACCTGCTCTGATATCTATTATTATTTTAGAGTTGAATTAGACACAAAAAAGGGGGAGGGGTTGAATTGTGTCTTACCTGATTTTTGTGATTTCAAAGAATGTGGTTATTTGAACTAAACAAAAATAAAGTACGAAAATTAAACAACACAACAATTTTTACGTGAAAAATCTCCTTGCTTAATGGAGTAGAAACAATGACCTATCCCAATAGGATTTGCCTCAAAATTTCTTTTAACTTCATTGGGAAATTTTAGGTTACAACTCTATATTCAAAGGGGACTAACTCTAGTACACCAACCCCTACAGTCAACTCAATTGTAGCTACCCTTTTCCAAACAAACTTTAGACTAGGAAGCTAACAAAACCTAGAAGTTTATGCACTAACGTATGATTACACTTCTCAAAAGAAAATAGGTTACAATTTAGATCATTTGACTCAACCTAAAAAACTAAAGAACTTCAACAACTTTGACTTCAGGAACATGTTCTTTGGTTGAGCAGCTTCAGTCTCCAAGAGCACCTTTCTGCGGAGATTTTTCGTCCTTTAATAAATTTCTTGCCTTCTTGTGTGAATAGAACTAGTCTTGAATAGCAGAAAAAGTCGCTTTTTAAGTTGTAAAGTTGGCCGAAGATCTTCTTCAATTAAAGATCCTAAACCTAGAATATTTCGATTAAGGAAAATCTCTCATGTTTTGATTTGGTTTCCTTATTTGTTTCCAACTCTTCAAACTTTTCCTTCTATGTAAGTTTTTCCTTATTTGCAAAAACCTTTTTGAACACAAAATCCTCCAATTAATGCTTTCCTTTAGAGCACGGACGAATCTTTTTGAGGAACTTGCACACACACTCTAAATTTTTGTGTCTGATCAACACTCTCCACTCATATGCTACAAACCTGGTTCTTGCATCGCCCTTATCATATGTACACATCAGTCGAGAAGAATAGCAACCTATTCATGAAAGCTGGTTCATTCAACATAAATAAGTCAGATTTTTTAATCATCAAAACATAACACGTGCTCAACTATCACGATCCAAATCTCACTATAGGCCGAGATGGCGCTCAACGAGCGCCGTCATTAGGAAATCCAACCATGAAACACTAATAGAGAATCTACATGCATCTCGAATGAAATACTGAAATAAACAACTAAAATCGTTCATTTTCATAAGAAAGTACTGATGTTATTAATTTAATTGCTCGAACGTGGTTAGAATATAAACCAAGAACAGAGTTAAATCTCCAAAATCCGGTGTCACAAATGCATGTGCATCTACTAGGAAGTACAATACTAATACAATATTTGTCTGAAATACACAAAAGGATAAAATAAATGAATATGATGGAGACTCCGTGTGCTGTGGATGGTGACATGTAATTCAGCTCACCATAAAGTCTCCTCAGCAGTTGCGCCTAGGCACCAAGATGACCACCAAATGAACCCACCTCAGTACCTGCACAATTAATGCAGAAGTGTAGCATGAGTACATGAATTAATGCGTACCCAGTAAGTATCTAGCCTAACCCTGAAGAAGTAGTGTCAAGGGGTCGACATCTACAGTTACTAGTGGTCTAATAAATCAGGTATAATGAAAGTAAACAGATATGAGGCATAGCAGGTAAAAACAACGAAGCGGATATAAGTGCATAATACGATCCCC